GAGAATTACCCCTAACTAAGAGTTACCTCCTTTGAAGATATTGAAGGGGGTAATAAAGAGCAACCAACGTGTTTGTCAAAGTTGCTTATTGCATAATGGAATACGTACTGGATTTTGAGTAAGAAAACACAGATACAACTGCTAGCTCCACCACTAGCTGGGTAACCTCGAGCAAATCACTAGTTAATGAGACAAGAGGGCAAGGATTGTGTCTGCTTTGTTCGTCACTGATTATGCAGAACATAGCATAGCGCCTTGCTCATAGCAGGTTTAGTAAATATTCCCTGAGTCCATGAAGGAATGAATAAGCTTTCCCTGGGCTTTGGTTTCCCTGGGATAATATGGAATTGGTAAGGAGAGGTGAGGCAATGATTCCCAAAGTGTGGTCCCTGCACGAGCAGCAGCAGCGGTACCACCCGGGAACTTGTTAGAAATGCAAATTATCGGGCTCCACTCCAGAGGTGCTGAATCAGGAAATCTAAAGCAGGATGCATGCTCAAGTTCAAGAACCACTGGGCTAGGTTATAACAAGGCAACAAACTCAAAATTCCAGTGGCTTAACACAGCAAAGGTTTATTTCCTGCTCACACTAAATGCCCGTCTTCTGTTGACAAGAGGATCTGTTCATCATAGTCACCCTGGGATTCAGGCTGATGGAGCAGCCATCTACTTGAAGCCATTAGTGGTCATGACCAAGAGAAAAGGCGTGGTGAATCATGAACTGGCTCTCCAAAGCCCCACCGAGATGTGCTGTCATTTCTGCTCACAGTTCGTTGTCCAAAGCAAGTCACGTGTGCACATCCAACTGGAAAAGAGTAGGGAAGAGCATCACCTTCGCTTTGTGGGATTGTTGAGAGGATCGAGTTAAATAGCAGATAGGGAAGTCTTCGGAGAACTGTTGAAAGCTGTACTGATTTAAGAGATTATTTCTATTGTTTTCTACTCTTGGTATAAAAGGGTTGGCTCCCTGGTTATTTGCCTGTCACCACTATGGCTGAGAATGGGGCTGAGATGTGGAATTCTAAAGCAGGGAATCACAACCCTATAAGGTTAAGTTCAAAGTAAGTTTATCAGGGGCTTCCCTGGTGGCGCAGTGGTTAAGAATCTGCCTGCCAGTGCAGGGGACACGGGTTCGAGCCCTGGTCCGGGAGGATCCCACATGCCTCGGAGCAACTGAGCCCGTGCACCACAACTACTGAGCCTGCGCTCTAGAGCCTGTGAGCCACAGCTAGAGCCCATGCTCTGCAACAAGAGAAGCCACTGCAATGAGAAGCCCACGCACCAACGAAGAGTAGCCCTCACTCACCACAACTAGAGAAAGCCCGTGGGCAGCAAGGAAGACCCAGTGCAGCCAAAAATAAATAAATTTAAAAAATAAGTTTATCAGGGCTTCCCTGGCGACGCAGTGATTGAGAGTCTGCCTGCCAATGCAGGGGACACGGGTTCATGCCCTGGTCCAGGAAGATCCCACATGCTTGCGTACCGCAAAAAAAAAAAAAAAAAAAAAAGTTTATCAGATTTTTTTTCAAGATGCTGGCTTTAAGGAGACAAAATGATAGAAACATATAAAAAACACAATCCACACAATACATGGCATGTAAAATGTATCTGATATGTTTTTGCTACACAAGTGATTTTTCTGACTGTTTATAGGAATTATTGTGATGTTCTCACAGTTGCAAAGATTGGATTGTTTGGAACAAGCTTTTCATTGCTGGTCACATTAGTTGTAGGGTTCATATAGCTGGCTCCTTGGACAGTACATAGAGGTAGGAGTCCATCCAGAGTTCAAATCCCAGTTCAGCCACTTATTACCTGTGTAACCTGAAGTGAATTATTTAAGTTCTCTGTGACTCTGTTTTCTTCTTGGAAAAAATGAGGATCATCATAATCCCTGCTTCACAGGGTGGTTGTAGTGACTAAATAATACTTGTAAAATGCTCAGAACAGTACCTGCACATAGTAGCTACAAAATACATATGTGTCAGCTATTGTACTATTGTTGGTTTTTAACTTAGAATAAAATGCAACCTCTTCATCAATAAATTACAAGACCCTGCTTGGACACTGTCCACCTTCGCCACCTCATCTGCTCTGTTACTCCTCACTGACTTATCTCTAAAAAACCACACTGGCATAGATTAGAAATGAAAATGGAGAAGTAACAACTGACACTGCAGAAATACAAAGGATCATGAGAGATTACTACAAGCAACTCTATGCCAATAAAATGGACAACCTGGAAGAAATGGACAAATTCTTAGAAAAGCACAGCCTTCCGAGACTGAACCAGGAAGAAGTAGAAAGTATAAACAGACCAATCACAAGCACTGAAATTGAGACTGTGATTAAAAATCTTCCAACAAAAGCCCAGGACCAGATGGCTTCACAGGCGAATTCTATCAAACATTTATAGAAAAGCTAACACCTATCCTTCTCAAATTCTTCCAAAATATAGCAGAGGTAGGAATACTCCCAAACTCATTCTATGAGGCCACCATCACCTTGATACCGAAACCAAACAAAGATGTCACAAAGAAAGAAAACTATAGGCCAATATCACTGATGAACATAGATGCAAAAATCCTCAACAAAATACTAGCAAACAGAATCCAACAACACACTAAAAGGATCATACACCATGATCAAGTGGGGTTTATCCCAGGAATGCAAGGATTCTTCAATATATGCAAATCAATCAATGTGATACACCATATTAACAAATTGAAGGAAAAACCATATGATCATCTCAATAGATGCAGAAAAAGCTTTCAACAAAACTCAACACCCATTTATGATAAAAACCCTGCTGAAAGTAGGCATAGAGGGAACTTACCTCAACATAATAAAGGCCATATATGACAAACCCACAGCCAACTTCGTTCTCAATGGTGAAAAACTGAAACCACTTCCTCTAAGATAAGGAAAAAGACAAGGTTTTCCACTCTCACCACTGTTATTCAACATAGTTTTGGAAGCTTTAGCTACAGCAATCAGAGAAGAAAAAGAAATAAAAGGAATCCAAATCGGAAAAGAAGAAGTAAAGCTGTCACTGTTTGCAGATGACATGATGCTCTACATAGAGAATCCTAAAGATGCTACCAGAAAACTACTAGACCTAATCAATGAATTTGGAAAAGTAGCAGGATACAAAATTAACACACAGAAATCTCTTGCATTCCTATACACTAATGATGAAAAATCTGAAAGAGAAATTAAGGAAATACTCCCATTTACCATTGTAACAAAAAGAGTAAAATACCTAGGAATAAACCTACCTAAGGAGACAAAAGACCTGTATGCGAAAAACTATAACACACTGATGAAAGAAATTAAAGATGATACAAACAGATGGAGAGATATACCATGTTCTTGGATTGGAAGAATCAACATTGTGAAAATGACTATGCTACCCAAAGCAATCTACAGATTCAATGCAATCCCTATGAAACTAACACTGGCATTTTTCACAGAACTAGAACAAAAAATTTCACAATTTGTATGGAAACAAAAAAGACCCCGAATAGCCAAAGCAATCTTGAGAACGAAAAATGGAGCTGGAGGAAGCGGGCTCCTGGATTTCAGACTATACTACAAAGCTACAGTAATCAAGACAGTACGGTACTGGCACAGAAACAGAAATATAGATCAATGGAACACGACAGAAAGCCCAGAGATAAACCCACACACCTATGGTCACCTTATTTTTTATAAAGGAGGCAAGAATATACAATGGAGAAAAGACAGCCTCTTCAATAAGTGGTGCTGGGAAAACTGGACAGCTACATGTAAAAGAGTGAAATTAGAACACTCCCTAACACCATACACAAAACGAAACTCAAAATGGATTAAAGACCTAAATGTAAGGTCAGACACTATCAAACTCTTAGAGGAAAACATAGGCAGAACACTCTATGACATAAATCACAGCAAGATCCTTTTTGATCCACCTCCTAGAGAAATGGAAATAAAAACAAAAATAAACCAATGGGACCTAATGAAACTTAAAAGCTTTTGCAAAGTAAACCATAAACAAGACGAAAGGCCAATTCTCAGAATAGGAGAAAATATTTGCAAATGAAGCAACTGACAAAGGATTAATTTCCAAAATTTACAAGCAGCTCATGCAGCTCCATACCCAAAAAACAAACAACTGAATCCAAAAATGGGCAGAAGATCTAAATAGACATTTCTCCAAAGAAGATATACAGCTTGCCAACAAATATATGAAAGAATGCTCAACATCACTAATCATTAGAGAAATGCAAATCAAAACTACAATGAGCTATCACCGCACACTAATCAGAATAGCCATCATGAAAAAAATCTACAAACAATAAATGCTGGAGAGGCAGTGGAGAAAAGGGAACCCTCTTGCACTGTTGGTGGGAATGTAAATTGATACAGCCACTATGGAGAACAGTATGGAGGTTCCTTAAAAAACTAAAAATAGAACTACCATGTGACCCAGCAATCCCACTACTGGGCATATACCCTGAGAAAACCATAATTCAAAAAGAGTCATGTACCAAAATGATCATTGCAGCTCTATTTACAATAGCCCAGAGATGGAAACAACCTAAGTGCCCATCATCGGATGAATGGATAAAGAAGATGTGGCACATATATACAATGGAATATTACTCAGCCATAAAAAGAAATGAAATTGAGCTATTTGTAATGAGGTGGATAGACCTAGAGTCTGTCATACAGAGTGAAATAAGTCAGAAAGAGAAAGACAAATACCGTATGCTAACACATATATATGGAATTTAAGAAAAAAAATGTCATGAAGAACCTAGGGGTAAGACAGGAATAAAGACACAGACCTACTAGAGAATGGACTTGAGGATATGGGGAGGGGGAAGGGTGAGCTGTGACAAAGCGAGAGAGAGGCATGGACATATATACACTACCAAACGTAAGGTAGAAAGCTAGTGGGAAGCAGCCGCATAGCACAGGGAGATCAGCTTGGTGCTTTGTGACCGCCTGGAGCGGTGGGATACAGAGGGTGGGAGGGAGGGAGATGCAAGAACGAAGAGATATGGGAACATATGTATATGTATAACTGATTCACTTTGTTATAAAGCAGAAACTTAAACACCATTGTAAAGCAATTATACCCCAATAAAAGATGTTAAAAAAAATAAAAAAATAACAAAATAAAAATAGAACTACCATGTGACCCAGCAATCCCACTACTGGGCATATACCCTGAGAAAACCATAATTCAAAAAGAGTCATGTACCAAAGTGTTCATTGCAGCTCTATTTACAATAGCCAGGACATGGAAGCAGCCTAAGTGCCCATCAACAGATGAATGGATAAAGAAGATGTGGCACATATATACAATGGAATATTACTCAACCATAAAAAGAAACGAAATTGAGTTATTTGTAGTGAGGTGGATGGACCTAGAGTCTACTATATAATGTCATCTTCTTAAGAGCAGGAACCTTGAATGTCTCCTTTACCCCTGGAACCCAAACTCCTAAAACAATGCCCTATAAATGTCTGTTGAATAAAGGACTCGGGCGGGCGCTGCTTCCCTTTGGAGATATCGGCACTCCATTCCCTGAGAAGAAAATATCTTCTCTTTAAACTTGAGATGACAATGAATTTCTGCAGCAGAAATATTTTTCATATTAAATAAAAGGATACAAAAATGAAGTGCTTCTGGGAGCCATGTGTGGAGGAAGTGACATTTTTAACAAAGGGCTTACAGGGTCACTGTGCCAGCTGATCCACTTTGCAGCCTCACCACAGATGCCTGGCAAAATATTGTACTCACGGCCAAATTGTTTTCGCACATTACTACACTAGAGCTATGTGCAATGTCCTAGCAGTTGGGTGTACATGTACTTTTGGGAGAAAAATAACATTTATTGTTGGTTTAAAAATTTTTCTAATTTCAGAAGAATCACAAGTTCAGTGCAGAAATTTTGAAAAACAGAGAAAAGCAGAAAGCACAAAGAAAACATCGATCTTCTAAACAGCGAAACATTTCAATGTGTATACTTTCCAGTCTTCTCTGTGAATGTTTTAAAAATAAATCTGTATCATATAAACTGTTTGGGAGTCAAATTTTTCCATTAGTGGTATATCATGGATATTATTATTTACTTAACATTCTTCTTCAAAAATGTGTATAAATCATAATATATTTAAATAGATTTGAATATGTAAAATATACACCCATGGTAAAAAAAGAAAAATTCTAACAGTACAGGAGAGTAGGAAAGAAAAAAACCTTTATGACACTCCTACTGCTAAAGGTATCTTGTGATTCCTTCCAGAATATTTTACGGTTATACATCTATAAATGGAATCACTACATTTTTGTTCAACAACTTATTATTTAATATGTAACAATATAATCTAGATAGCTTTCTAAGGTTGCATGGCGTTCTTCATGGTTTGTTGCATAAATATACAATAATTTTTAAACTAGTCTCCACTTGGCCACTTTTGCAATTCTTAGTTCTTTGATGTTATACACAATGATGAAATTCTCACTCTCTCTATTGTCTTTCTTTCTTCTCTCGATAGACAGAAAGATAGGTGATCAATAGATAGATAGATATCTTATAATTGCTTAGAACAGTGCCCACATATAATATGTGGTGTGTGTGTGTATGAAGCCAATTTGGTAACATATAACAAAATTTTAAATGCATATCTCCTTTGACTTATAAATTCTGTATACTTTGCAAATCTATACACTTTTAGGATCGATAATATATTTTAAATTTTGTAAAATACTGCCAAATTGCCCTCCAAGAGGATGTACCAACTTCCACTTTCACCAAAAGTTTTGAAAGTATTTTTCTACTCTTTCTCCACCCTTTTGCCAACATTAGTGTCAATTTTTTAAAAATTTGTTAAACTGATAAGTGAAAAATTGTATTTCATGGTTGTTTTTAATTTGCATTTCTCTAATTGTTAGTGAGCTTGCTCTATCTATATATAAATATGTATATATACACATATATACACAGAGAGAGCGAGAGAGAAGTACATGTAGATATATAGATATTTATTGCTTATTTGTTTATTTTCCCTGAAAATTGCCTTTTCATGTCCTTTGTGCAGTTTTCTGTTGTTTCTCTTTTTCTCATTGATGTCTAATCTCACATGTTATTAAGAAGGTACCAAATTCATGTAACTAGTGTCTTGTTATTAATTATATGTTATTTCCAATTTTTTGAAAGTAAATATTGGAGGTTCTCAGCTCTGTTTGCACAGTAGAGTCACCTGAGAGGCTGTTGTTTTTGTTTAAACACTGATGCTCTCCCCCAAGAGAGCATCAGTATTTGCTTGATGTAATTAGTCTGAGGTGAGGCCCAGACATCGGTATACCACAGGGTTTCTTAATCTCAACACTATTGACACTTTGGACCAGATGAATCTTTTTTTTTTCAATATTTGTTTATTTATTTATTTGTTTGTCTGTGAGGGTCTTCATTTCGGCATGCAGGATCTTCTTTGCGGGATCTAGTTCCCAGAGCAGGGATTGAACCTGGGCCCCCTGCATTGGAAGTGTGGAGTCTTAACCATTGGACCACCAAGGAAGTCCCTGGACCAGATTAATCTTTGTTGCAGGGACATTTTCTGCGCTCTGTAGTATGTTTATCAGCATCCCTGGCGTCTACCCATTAGATGCCAAGAGCACACTCCTTCCCAGTTGTGACAACGAAAAAAATGTTTCCAGATTCTGCCACATGTCTCCTGCATGCAAAATGCTCCTTTACTTCCCTAACAGCCCCCCACTTGGTTGAGAACCACTGCTGTACTGGGTTTAACTTCCCCAATGAATCTAAAATGCAAGTAGAATTGAGAACCATTGTTGTAAATAATGCTGCAATGAACATTTTTAAGCATAAGCTGTTGCCTACATCTTTCATTATTTCCTTAGGATAACCTCAGGAAGTTAGCACATCTTCAGGCTTTGGACACAATTTGGTCAATTGCCCTTCCAAAGGATTGTATTGACTCTTCCATCACCAGTGCCTGAGAGTGTCCTCTCCCCCTCACCTTTGCCAGTTCTGGATATTATCAACATCCTTCTCAACCAATCCGATAGGCAAGAAATGTTATCACATTTTGAAGTTGACATTTTGTAGGCTGAATTCAAAAGAAAGCCTAATGAAGAATGTACCAAAGGTGACATTCAAATCAATTCTCTTTCATCATGTTGGCTAGTTGATTGCACCACTTGTGAAAGCCTGAAGGGCTTGGATAAGTTTCTATGCTGATCTAGCTCCAGTGGTGTCTTCATAAATGTTTAACAACTGGCTGTCTAGAGGTTAAAAATAACAAACAAACCAAAAAAAAAAAAAAGCCACCGGAAACCCATGACATTTGTTATGTTTGCCAATTTCTGTGATGTAAATACACCCACTTACATTTCAAGTTATCAGTGTGATGTCACTAACTACATAGATGGGAAGAGATGTACATAACTCGTTGCTGGTGGCTGGCAGGATCTGGCTCCAGCTCACCACAGCTTTGTACGAATGTTGAAATGACTGTATAATTCAGTTCCGTGTCCTACATCTAATAGTAAGAACTTAACCGATCCCCGTTAGATTGGGCATAGGTTAGCAAAGTGCACAAGCAAATAAGTGATGAGTTTGGCCCATGAGTTCAGCTTGTATAATAAAAAATTTGAGAGAGAACAAGGATAATAAGTGAAGACAAGGGCCTGTGTCATCCAAAATACTTATTCTAAATGCCCAGTAGCTTTAATATCATCAGCTTACCACTTTGTGTAGTATAACCTGACTTGAGAGTCTACCCTTGACTTTGACACTTATGAGATATCCAGCCTTGAGCAGCTCCCTTAAATTTCTGTGTCTTATTTTTATCCCATGAACTGAAGAGGAAAAGAGGTATATTATTTCCAAGAGGACTGTGCAAAGCAGTCCATAGACATCAGGGATGCAGCAGGGCCATCGCCCCACTGATTAACATGAAGCCACAGAATGACAAATCAGCCAACTTCAGCTCTGTGCACTCTGACAGTTTCAGAGCTTAATAATCATCGTGCCCAGCACCGAATGGAAATGCATGACTTGACTTGCTAAGCAGTTTCCCAGTGACAGCAGTCAAAATAAGAATGAGTTTTCCTTCTTCCCAACATAAAAAAGAAGCAACAGGGCTTCCCTGGTGGCACAGTGGTTGAGAGTCCGCCTGCTGATGCAGGGGACGCGGGTTCGTGCCTCGGTCCGGGAGGATCCCACATGCCATGGAGAGGCTGGGTCCGTGAGCCATGGCCGCTGAGCCCGTGCGTCCGGAGCCTGTGCTCCGCAACGGGAGAGGCCACAACAGTGAGAGGCCCGCGTACCGCTAAAAAAAAAAGCAACATATAAGATCAGGTTCCAGGGAGAAAATAACCTATTAACTTCAGTAAATATTCAACTCCATTGTTCAGGGACTGTTTAACCTGTTTAAGAATTTCCTAAACTAGTAGTTCTTACTCCTGACTGCAAACCAGACTTGCCAAGGGAGGTTTTAAAAATTACAGATGCCTGGCTCCACCCACAGGCATTCTGGTTTAAGTGGTTTGGAGTGGGCTCTAGAAATCTGTATTTTTTAAACGCTCCAGGTAATTGTAATGTGCAATGGTTCCTAAACTTGAATCTGCATGAGAATCCTTGGGGGGAAATTTATTAAGCACACAGGGTCCTGGGTAGGAACCTGGTAAGAATCTGCAGAGATTCTAATTTGGTGGGCTTTGTCTCTGAAGTGGGACCCATAAACCTGAACTTTTAACAAACCCCTCAGTTCAAGACTCACTGTTAATGTAGACAGTGGGGAACGGTTCAAGGATTGGGCAGCCATGGGATATGATCAGATCAGATCAGGATCCCAGTACGATGACTGGAGCGGGCAGATAGAGGAAGACTCGTCAGGGAGCTGTGGGAGATTCCAGGCAAGCAAGTGATTCTGGTCTGAAGTAGGTCAGGGGCATTGGGAATGGAAGGCAGGAGCTGGACCTGGGACAGACTT